ATTGGATTTCATAAGACACCCCCTTACATTGCTACAAGTTATGAAGGAAAACCATTCATTTGGGTAAGTCAAAACTTGGAATTTTAATAAGACAAAAGACGTTATTTAAAATGTTAAATACATATAATAAGGAATTACCCTCCAGGATATATGGCAAACTGCTATAATAAGAAAGTCTATTTGACATAAAAATAGCTAAATTAATATGAATCAGCAACAGCTAACACGGGAGAAAACTCATGTCCATCCAATAGTCATGTAAAAAGATACACAGAATTTTTTGTAATTGGAAAAATGTAAATTTTTTTTATGTTTTTAAAGTTTTTATTTTATTTTCAGACTAAGTCTCTGCATTCATCTTTTTTTTCCTATTTTATGTTTAATTTTATGGTACAATTCCATAGGCTCTGGGATTTCCCCCACCCCTTCCTCAAATTCCCTCCCCACATTTAATTTCCCCCATACTATTACAGTAGTATAGTCCTTCTTAAGTGGTCATAAAATCATCGTTCTGTTATTTAAGTGTGTTCTAACACACTTAAATGCCAGACAGTGCAACATCCTATTGTCAAGATATTTCCAGCAGTTGCATTGGGAGTCCATCTTTGATTTGGAAGTAGAGGTACATACTGCATTGTATTTTTGTTTATTTTTATTTATATATATATTATTTATTTTTATTTCATTTCCATTGGGATGATAAATTTTTACTATGGTAACATACTATCATTCATAAATGACATTGAAAGGTAATAGAAAAGTAAGAATTGTCATGCTGTTAATGGAAATATAAATGGACATAAGTACTTTGGAGAATAAATTGATAATATAAAGTTGAAAATATGCATTCATACGTATCTGAAAATCAGTTAACAGGTTTGCACTAAGAAATTTTTGCATATATACATATACATATATATTTACAAGCAGACATTTATAAAGACATGTTGCCATAGAAAAATAGATTAGCAAATTTGATAATGAAATGAATAGATGAGTAAATTTGATAATTAAATGAATGAACTTCATCTAAGTGAGTCAGCATGGATTTCCAAAACTGTGTTGAGTGAAAAAAAAATTGCTGAATATGTATAATGTAATGACATTCATATAAACATTTGCAAAATTTCATAGGACTGTATGTGTTGCTTAGAAATATTTATATGTCTAATATAAATATTGAAGAACGACTGGGAAAAGTACACATCACATTAGTGGTAGTTACTGTTTAATAGATAAGTATGGTATCTAACTGGATAGAAGAGCAAGGATGACTTAAACTTTACCTAAGTCATGCTATTGTGTTTGTATTACTTATGAAGGAAAATAATTAAGAACCTAGATTAACCTCTTTCCAAAGTGCCTACCTAGTTTAGAAGTGTCACTGCTTCACTTGGTAATTATATGTTTTATAAAATGCTGCCATTGATATGTACATAAGAGATTTAGCAAGGGGCATGTGGGGAGTAAATATAACCATTCTCTTTAGATATTCCCCTGGAGTAGCCAGTTACAGACAAAATGGGAATATATTGGGTATCACATGGAGTGGGTATGTACCAGTAGGGTCAGATCACCACTTGTCACAATGCCTGGTTTCAGTCTCGGCTCTTCTTCCTTTCTTTTCTTCTTTGTTTTTTTCTTCTTCCTCTTTTTAAGATTTATTTAATTTATTGGAAAGGCAGATATACAGAGAAGGAGAAACAACAGAGAGAAAGATCTTTCATCCACTGATTCATTTCTCCAAGTGGCCGCAACAGCCAGAGCTGAGTCAATCTGAAGCCAGCAGCCTCTTGTGGGTCTTTCACGTGGTTCAGGATCCCAAGGCTTCGGCCGTCCTCTAGTGCTTTCCCAGGCCACAAGCAGGAAGCTGGATGGGAAGTGGAGCAGCCAGGACATGAACTGGTGTCTGAATGGGATCCCAGCACATGCAAGGCGAGGATTTTAGCCACTAAGCTACCACACCAGGCCCTCAGCTCTACTTTTAATTCATCTTCCAGCTGGTGACAACTTGGAAGCAGCAGTTGCTTCCAAGGGTTGGGTCCTTTCCCCACACAGATTCAATACTGGAGTCATGGCTTTAGTTTGGCCTCAGGCTCACCCCTGGAGCTGTCAAAAGCAGTTGAGTGATAAATGAACACCAGATGATCTTGTTACCTCTGTTTTACTCTTTGCATTTCAAAGAAAATAATATAAGATAAAGAGCTTAAGGAAATATATATTTGCAAACTGTCTGAAAATAATAAAATCAGGAGCTGGCACAGTAGTATATCAAACTCATCTTGTGCATGCTGCACCAACATCCTCTCCTAGCTGCTCCACTTCTGATCCAGCTCTCTGCTTGCAAACTGGAAAGCAAAGAGAATAATAGTTCAAGTGCTTGAGAACTTCATCATGTGGAAGACCTGGAGGAAGCTCCTGCTTTTGGATTGGCTCAGGTCTAATTGAAACCATTTGGGGAGAGAATCAGCAGGTGGAAGATCTCTCTGTCTCTGTCATGCCCTCTCTGTATAAGTGTGCCTTTCAAATAAAAATAAATGAATCTTTTTAAAAAATAAATAATAAAATTCCTTTTAAAATTTGTTGTAAGTAGTCCCATTCTTCTCAGACTTTTTTTTTTAAATGTAGAAACATAGTGTTGTTGTTGTCATTTATCCATTCAACTAATTTTATTGGAACAGAAACATGTGCTGGGTAACGATACTGCAGTGAGCAAAGTGGGCTAAGTCTGTTCCTGGAGAGTTTGATAGTCAAGGAAAGTAACCACTAAACAAATAGATTAATAAAAAACGTGATGCCTCTGCAATGTGGATAATAAGAGCAGTAGACAGTGGGAGTATTTTATATGGAGAAGAAAAGGAAAAACTGTCAATCCCGAACACCATAGGGGGTGTTACGAGGGAGAAGATAGAGGCAGACAGAAAAAAGACACAGGTCCTACTCCTTCCTGCAGAGCCAGCAGGAAGGCCCATCTTGCAGGAGCAGAATCTATTGAGTTTGAACTAGTACGAGATGAAATCAGAAAGACATCAGAGGATTGGGTCATACAGGGCTCATGACCCTGATAAAAACTTTGAAGCAAAGGACTACCAGTTTGGACAGGGAATCTCCCCGCTTTGTTGAACTAATCCATAGGGTGTGGTTGGTGGTGGAAGGTAAAGATAAAACCAGAGAAACTGTGTGTAAGCTTGTTTTGATTCTGTAGACAAGAAGTGATGGCTGTTTAGACCAGGGTAATGAGGGATTCTGAAAATGCTACTTTTTAACAACTTAGTTCTTAATTTATAGATTACACTGTAATCTCAGGGGGAATTCTTGGAGTTATTGAGAAGAGAAAAATACATGTCAACTGCCAAAAAATGATAAGCTAGCTGTACAAGTGCCGGATTGTGGGAAGCAGATATCAATTCCTGTTACTTAGGGAAACACCCCTTACTCTTTTTGGAAGTCATTGTTGAGTAGGAAATTGAAAAATGAGTGGAGGTTGAAAGACTTCACTGTTAATGCTTGTGTAAGTTCAAAAAAGAGCTCTGTGCCAATTTTTACTTTGTAGTAAAGCTGTATAACTGTATATAAAGGCAAATAACCAATTTTTGTATGTATTCGTTTGGCTCTAGAGCCTTTTATGGGAGATTACTCGGTTTGTAGCATCTTTTAAAGATTGTGTATAAGTTATTTCTGAATATTTTACATGACTTCTTTGCATTTGTACTTTATTTTGAAGCAACATGCACATGACAGTTATTTTATTCAGACATTTTTGGGGTTTATATGTTAACAATGAATATATTCAGAAGTGCAGTTAAATTGATGTTTAGTGTCTTTTTGTGTAGCGTTTGTTTTTACTACACACCTTCCCAGTTTATTTTTGTATTAGTATTTGGTATTATTTTTATGTCTAGGGATTTCTGTGACTGGGAGTGTGTATAGGTTTGTATGTGGTGGGTAGGAGGGAAAGGGTGAGAGAAAGAATCTGTTTCATATTTGTGTTTAGAGCTAAAAATCTTAGCACATCATTATGACATGTAAGTGCTGAATAAGTTGTTGTCCAGAGTGGCAGCCGTGGGATAGCATTATGGCTGCTGCCTGCAACACATACATCTCTTGTCAAAAAACTGGTTCAAGTGCCAGCTGCCGTGTTCCCAGTCCAGCTCTCTGCTAATGCACCTAGGAAAGCAGCAACAGGTGGCCCAGGTTTTGGGGAGCTGCTACCCAAGTGGGAGACCCAAATGGAGTTTGAGGTTCCTGGCTATGGTTTGGGCTGACCTTAGAGTGTAATTGAGAAAATTGTCGTCTTTGTGTATCTCTCTGCTTTCTTTCACTCTTCTTTTCAAGTGCATGAAATTCTTTAAAAATTTGTTTAAAAATGACTGGCAAAATAGGACAAATCATGATTACTATGAACTCTGAGCTTTAAAAAAAATTGTTTGTTTGAAGGACAGAATAAGAGAAAGAAATCTTCCAGTTGCTGGCTTTCTCCCCAAGTAGCTACAACAGCCTGATCTAGGTCAGGTTGCAGCTAGGAGCCGAGAAGTAGTTGCTGGTTTCTCACATGGTTGGCAGGACTCCCAGCACTTGTGCTGCCTTCGCAGAAACCGTAACAGGAACTGAATCAGAAGTGGAGCAGCACTACCATGCCAGATATTGGTTTTGCAAGTGGCAGCTTAGCTACTGTTCTTTTTAAAGTACAGCATTATATTTGCACTTAAGTGACATTTAAACTTAAATTATTCATTCATAGCATCTCTTATAGCACAAGAGTTAACGGTCAACTCAGAAATTTTTTTGTTAATACTTTAAGACTGAATTTATTTAGTGACTGGAAAATTTTTGTTTTGGTTTGTGAAAAATGGAGGGAGTTTGAGATTACAGTGCCTCATTTTAGTATAAGGAGTTTTACCTTTTGTCAAAATATATAATACTGATTATAATGTCTGTTGGAGAATATTTCAAACATTTAATGAGCTTTCTAACTAAATTAACTTTCTTTTTTCTTTTAGCAAAACTGTACAATCTAAAGTGGACTGCATTTTGGTAAGTAAAGTAATCTTAAATTCTTTTGCAATTAGGTCTTGGCACTATCTAAGAGAGTATCATTCTTAAGTAAATATAATTTCAAATGTAATCCAACTTTAGTGAATAAAATTTAACAATTAGTTGTTACCCTATTGTGAATTCATTATAAATTGTCCAGATATTTTGCCATATATCATCAGCACTAAAATCACAGTCCGAGGTAACTGAGCATTTTTAATTTCATTGACTTGCGCTCAAATTTGCTTAAGCTCACATTTAATTAAAGTGAATGTTTACTTTCCAGTTCTGATAGGTCTTTGTGAATTTGTTGAAGTAGATTTTTGAGAAATTTGGCGAGCTTGTTGCGATAGTATATTTTTCATGTTTTGGTTTCTAGCCTTCAAGAATTAAGCCACGTGAGTTTAAATTTAGATTGAACTCGTGAAACTCTATAAGAAAATTGTTTAAAGAAAAGCTTTTAACGTGCTTAATGGGTTAGTTTTGTTACCACAATATACTTTCCATGTTTGGATTGCTAGCTTTTAGGATTGAAAGCCTTAACAGTAGTTTAAATTTGGATTGTATTTGTAATTCTTTACTTAAACATGTGAAGGAAGAATCATGCAGCCACTAGGATAACTGGAGTAGTGCTGACCTCTTTGGTAACATTTCTGTGGAGGCATACCCCTCAGCTCTAGAACATTGAGTGGCTCTGATCATTTTGATTCCTCAAAGTGTCAGTCACTACATCTAGGTAATCCACTTTTCCTATTGTGACTTCAAAACTTTTATTCAATTTGGGTTATTCTTTATGAGATGCACCAATTCTGTGAGAAGAGGCTCTACTTTAGTGTCTGGTTCTGAAATAGATATATAGTATATTAGCTTATTATATTGGTATTAGCTTTTTAGCCTTAAATAAGGTAAGTTAACCAGGAATAATTCATATGAGATGAGATAATTTGTTGAGTTCTCCAATACTTTTCTAAGCTAAAAGCTGAAAGAAGACTTTGTAGGGCGTTTTTGTTTTGTTCCTTTTCTGTTTTATCTTTCTTGACTTCACAACAACCCTCTCTTTTACGAAGAAACTGATATTCTCATATTTTGATATTTTTTCTGCCCATTCTACAAATTAAAAAGCATACTCATTGTCCTCAAGAAAACCAGTATGAGGTGCAGATGTATTCAAGAATATTTTTAAGAGTTAGGAAAGTGGTGATTAGGGTGAAGGGCATGACATTGTTACTAATCCCCAGAGCAGTTTCTCTCTTAAGGCATCTCATTGTTTACATGTCACTTGATAATTACTCATAATTGCTATGTGTTAGACCAGTTTCTTGTTCCCAGTGTACAACGGTAAAGAAAACAGACAGTTTTTCTGTTCATCCAAAGTTATCTGTTTTCTTAGAACTTGAAATAAATTTGCAGAATTATTCCTTTTTTCTTATTGAGAAGATAGACGAGGAAGACTGCTATAAAGTGTGAAATATGAAATTTGTAAATACTAAGAGCAAAAGGAGCTTAAAATTCTTGAAAAGTTTAAAACTTTTTATTTTAATGCAAGGTTATAAATACATATTTATAATTTGATAAAATTTTAGCCAGTTTTTCTAAATACTGGTTTAGGCTTTGCCTACACAATGATGACCAAGATAGTAAGAGCTCTATCCTTATGTTCCCTGTATTTTATTTGGTGAGGTAGTTATTAAACCAACAAATGAAAAAGAATTATAACTTCAGACAATGATAAATTATAAAATTTTTAAGAGAAAAGGTAGCATGTGGCAGTGGCTAGGATAGTTTTAAGTGTAGTAATTAGAAAGTCTGTTTGAGGAAGTGGTGTTTAAACCAAGACTTGAATAAGAAGGAACCAGCCTATGTGTTGATCTGCCAGTGATATGTACTAAATAGAAGGGATGTGAGAACAAAAATATTGCATCAGAAATGAATTTGAGATGTTTGAAGACTACAAGGCAAGACTGGGAGCAGTAGAGAGTAAGAGGGCAGCTACAGAAGACACTGCAGTGGCCATCCTCCCACCCCTCATGGAGACACCAATCTGAACTGTGTAAGAGCTATGGAAGCAAAGTGAAAGTACAGTGCCTCCATTTAGTATAATAAGGAAAAAGCCATAGAAGAGAGCCTTGGTGACCAATCTCCCAGTTCCGGAGAGCCAGGAGAGACACCACCTACTGGAGGGAAGTTGAGGAAACTGAATTCCGGTGTGCCAACCGCACTGCCATAAAATTCAGACTTGATCAGAGACCCACAATCCTACCTCCAGGCCCACACCTGTGGACTGAGTTTTTGGAATTTCCTTGGCCAGACCAGCTTCTACCACCCCTTCTGCACTGGCCAGCAGAAGCAAAACAAGTCTCCAGCTGCTACTTACAGGATAGGAAAGGGAGGTTAGGATCATGCCATGGAGCTTACATTCATGCTCACTTCTTTTAGACTGGAATGTAGTACTTGATAAAGCACCAGTGCCTCTACCCATCGGCTGTAGCTTACAGGCTGAGCCACTAGATTTACCCTGACTTCAGCTGAGACCTGCACTCCAATGAGATAGACTCATCAGTATGTATTACTGCCACCCTCAAGCAAATGTGGCAGATACCCTATGAAACTTTGAGGAGCCTGGTGACTGGAAACCAGGCACAAGCCATCCTGGTGTCAGTCTGGATGCCAGGGCAGGTACCTCCTGCATCCTTGGACAAACAAGAAGCAATGGGAATGTGTGCCTGGATTTATATGAGGCTGGCAAAACCCAACACCAGGCAAGTCCTGGTGCCTGTCCTTTGGCAGTGCCTGTGGACAAAGTCTCCGGTCTTCAACCAGTATCAGAGAGTGGATTTGATGGGACAAACTTGTTCTGGCATATATCACTACCAACCTAACATGGGCACACTCTTTACCTTCAAGATTGCACAGGGCCTCATGAGATAAGGCCACGATCACACCAGCTGTGTCTCACCTGGTATTTGCCTAGGTGATTGAGGGGCTGCTTTCATTGCCCCTCCTACACCCTTGGGCCAGCAGCAAAGTAGTCAGAATGCTGCTTGGTACTCTGCGTCTGGCTAGTAGAACCCATTATTGAACAGATTGTGATGGTCCATGTATCTAAGCCAGAGCTTGTAGGCAGAACCCCAGGACTTTCTTCATAGCTAGATGGAGTTTAGTGGCCCCAGTTTATCAGGCTCATGACCAAACCAACTTGGTGAGCAAGGCAATATTAGGTAGTGAGTCCACTTCAGCAGCAGAATGCAGCAGGGTGAGCTTTGATCCTGCCTTCAGGTACTCTGGTGTTCAGTGGGTTTCATCATCATACCACAGCTAGACAAAGCAGCCTAGACACTAGACAGCACCCTAAGCAGTTTTGCTCCAGGTATGCTCTGGGAGGGCTAAAGTCCTCGCTTTGCACATTCCAGGATCCCACATGAACTCCAGGATCCCACATGGATGCGGGAAGAGACTTCTGGCTTCAGATCTGTGCAACTCCGGCCATTGTGGCTGCTTGGGAGTGAAATCAACAGATGTCTCTCCTTTTTTTAAATATGCAAGGAGATAATAATGGTAAATGTTTCAGAACCAGAGAAAGATACCCATCCAGGTACAGGAACATCAAGATCACCATTCAGATCAACCCTACAACATATTAGAGTCAGAAAGACAAAGAGAATTCTCAAGGGCCTAGCACAATGGTTGAGTAGCTAAATCCTAGGCTGTACTTGCCAGGATCCTGTATGGGCGCTGGTTCATGTCCAGGTTGCTCCACTTCCCATCCAGCTGCTTGCTTATGGCCTGGGAAAGCAATGGAGGGCCTTGTGACCCTGTTCCCGACTCCTGGCCTCAGATCAACTCAGCTCTGGCCATTGTGGTCACTTTAGGAATGAACCAGCGGAAGGAATATTATTTTTCTCTCTGTATTTCCTTCTCTTTGCAAATCTATCTTTCTAACAAAAATAAATCTTTTTAAAAAATGCTCAAAGCCACAAGAGAAAAGGAACAAATAGTAGGGAGCTGATTACTAGTAAATAGAAGCATGCAGTACAATAAAAAATTGTTTATTATGACCAAAAGAATTTATCCCACAGATGCAGGGATAATTCAGCATACATAAATCAATAAGCTTGATCCACCACATGATGAGACCTTTTAGCAGTAAAGAAAAAAATATGTGTATCTAGTAAGATCATTCTACCCAGTAATACTATCATGCAGGTATGAGGGAGGAACCTTCCCAAACACCAGCCAAGGGAATTTGCTACTACTGGGCTTTTGTACTGGAAATACTAAAGGGAATTCTTCAGTTTGAAAGCAAGAGATACTGATGAGTTAGAAGAAAACTTCAGAAGTAGAAAACCCACAGCTACATAATATACATTCTGCTCAGCAGCTGTGAAACTTTGTCCTGGATAAATCATACTGTGGATCACAAACAGGTCTAAACACAGTGGAAAGAATACAAATTGTACCAAGTCTTTTTTCAGATGACAGTGCTCATTACCTGGAATTCACTAACAAAAAAAAACTTTGGAAAACCCAGAAGTGCATAGAAATTAAACAACTTTCTCCTGAACAACTAACAAATTAGGAAAAAGTTAATTTCCTGAAATGAATGAACATGGAAATCTGAACAAGAGATGCAGCCAAAGTGCTACTAACAAGAAAGTTTATAACAATAAGTACATATTAAAAAGAAAGGGGCCCGGCGCGGTGGCGCAAGTGGTTAAAGGTCCTCGCCTTGCACTCCCGGGATCCCATATGGGCGCCGGTTCTAATCCCGGCAGCCCCACTTCCCATCCAGCTCCCTGCCTGTGGCCCGGGAAAGCAGTCGAGGACGGCCCAAAGCTTTGGGACCCTGCACCCATGTGGGAGACCCGGAGGAGGCTCCTGGCTTCGGATCGGCATAGTATTGGCCCGTTGCGCTCACTTGGGGAGTGAATCATCGGACGGAAGATCTTCCTCTCTGTCTCTCCTCTCTGTATATCCGCCTTTCCAATGAAAAAATAATAAAA